GTCCTCGACACTACAGATAATTTCTTCGTACGGTAATTTGCGGGGTGTAATTGCAAAGTTGAGGCCTTTGGATAAAACCCTAATCGTTGCATCATCCAGTGTTTGTTTTGACAGATTATAGAGCGCGATTAATCTATGATCTGTGTTTGTCAATGGTTGCTTTCGGTTCTGGCATTGATTCAGAAGTTTGACATTTGACTTGTTCGTTAATTTTTGATATTTTTCTATATGTTTGTTTTTGCATTCATTATATTTACTAATTTCGCGTTATTTAATGTTTCCATGCAAAAATTATAGTCAAACGTCGTTAAAACTTTCTTCAATTCACTGGATGATGTGTCTATGGATTTGTTTATGTCTAATAGATCGGAGCGTTTTTGTTGGATTACCGTCCGTAACAACTTTTTACTCGCCTGATTTAAGATCTTAGCGCTTCCTCGAATGTCCTTTTTGGTTGATATTTTAACACACGTAGGAATGAGATTATGGTCACGGCATCTCTTCAAGAAATTTAAGGCTGTTAGATATCTTGCGCGCTTCGTCTTTAGATCTTCTAATCGGCTAAATTTTAATCTATGGTAACCGCGGTTAACTATGACATATGGACGTTGAACATCTCAGTCCTGCCCGTGATCATGTGTGAGTGCTGTAAAGCGTTCGAAACGTCGGCTAATTAAAAAGTTAAATATACGCGATAAATTCCGTAAAAACTAGTATTATTTCAATGTGTAGTGTTCGCGTAAATATAAGAAATCATTATGTAAACCAGTACGGACTGGTAATTGCAAATAAAATACGCCGATTAGAAGATCTAAAGACCAAGCGCGCAAGATATCTAACAGCCTTAAATTTCTTGAAGAGATGCCGTGACCATAATCTCATTCCTACGTGTGTTAAAATATCAACCAAAAAGGACATTCGAGGATGCGCTAAGATCTTAAATCAGGCGAGTAAAAAGTTGTTACGGACGGTAATCCAACAAAAACGCTCCGATCTATATGACATAAACAAATCCATAGACACATCATCCAGTGAATTGAAGAAAGTTTTAACGACGTTTGACTATAATTTTTGCATGGAAACATTAAATAAACGCGAAATTAGTAAATATAATGAATGCAAAAACAAACATATAGAAAAATATCAAAAATTAACGAACAAGTCAAATGTCAAACATCTGAATCAATGCCAGAACCGAAAGCAACCATTGACAAACACAGATCATAGATTAATCGCGCTCTATAATCTGTCAAAACAAACACTGGATGATGCAACAATTAGGGTTTTATCCAAAGGCCTCAACTTTGCAATTACACCCCGCAAATTACCGTACGAAGAAATTATCTGTAGTGTAGAGGACTGTTTATTTAAAAACAATATGCGGAAAGAAGATTTGGAGGCGATACGTCAAGACATCTCGTCTATGTTACGTCGATGTTCAGTGCCTAAACCGAATCTTCCCAAAGACGAATTTATAGCGTTAAAGAACCTACGCAATAAACACGAACTTACGATTCTCCGCGCAGATAAGGGAAACGCCACGGTAGTCATGGATACGTCAGATTATAATTCTAAAATACAAGAACTTTTGTCGGATGTAAGTACTTATAAAAAAGGTTAAAAACGACCCAACAAATAGCACACTAAAAACAACTAGTGACCTCATAAAGAAACACTCCGAAAAATTAAATCTGGACGTAAAATGGATAATACCTACGTGCGCCAAATCACCAAAATTGTATGGGTTACCAAAAATACACAAGCCCAATGCTCCATTACGTCCCATAGTGAGCCAAATCGATTCACCAACTTACAGATTGGCTCAACACTTAGCGAAAATACTCTCACCACTCAGGGGACATACAAGAGCACACATAAAGGATTCTTACCATTTTGTCAGCGAGATTAAAGACCTACATCTGGCAGACAATTAAACTATGGTCAGTTTTGATGTGCCAGTCATTGTTTACATGCTTACCTGTTGAAGACTGCATCTCAATTGTAACTAGAAGGCTGGAAGAAAACAACATGCCCGTAGAATATGCAGTATTACTCAGACACTGCCTCACATCTGGCTACCTATTGTGGGAGGAGGAGTTCTACAAGCAAGTAGATGGTGTGGCGATGGGCTCACCTGTATCTCCCGTTGTCGCCGACATATTCATGGAAGACTTTGAGGAGAAAGCCCAGCTTAGTTCTCCCATAAATCCAAGGTTCTACAAGCGGTACGTAGACGACACTTTCACAATTCTACCTTTAGATAAAGTAACTGCATTTTTAGACCATCTTAACTCTATAAATTCTAAAATTCAGTTCACAATGGAGTTAGAGGCAAACAATTCCTTAGCTTTTCTAGATGTGTTAGTAATTCGGAATCCTGATAACACCTTGAGCCATACTGTGTATAGAAAAAAGACCCATACAGATAGATATTTAAACGGTGATTCTCACCACCATCCTTCACAGTTGGCTAACGTGGGTAAATCTTTGTTTCAGAGAGCACGAGGGATCTGTGACAGTAAACACCTGGCTGCAGAGCTCCACCATGTCAAGCAAGTTTTGCATGACAACAAGCTTCGAGTCCCGCGCCTACGTCACAGTGAACGAGTGAAGCCGGCCACAGTCGAGCGTGTACCTGCTGTACTGCCATATGTTAGAGGAGTCACTGACAAGATTGGCTACATCTTGAAGCGCGCTTCCATCAAAACATACTTCAAGCCGCTGAAGAAGATTGATCAGTTTTTACCATCGGTCAAGTGTAATGTCCCTCTGCAAGATGCAGGAGTGTACAAGCTTGATTGTGAATGTGGTCTCTCCTACATAGGACAAACTAAAAGATCAATAAAAACCCGCGTTAAAGAACATATAGCTGATGTGAAGAATCGACGCTCCGGGAAGTCTGCAGTCTGTGAACACGTACAGGATCGCCCCCGTCACTACATCAGATTTGATAGACCGCAGATCCTCGCTAAAGAACACCGATTCCTTCCAAGGATGATTCGCGAGGCTATTGAAATCAAAAAACATCCTAATTTCAATAGAGAAGATGGCTGGGTGCTACCATCTGCTTGGGATCCTATAATAAATAAAATTAAATCCCAACCCAAGCATACAACTGCAAGACTTCAAGATACCATAAGTTCATACGGAATAGATCGGAACAAAAGTTAAATTTTAATCTATGGTAACCGCGGTTAACTATGACATATGGACGTTGAACATCTCAGTCCTGCCCGTGACCATGAGTGCTGTAAAGCGTTCGAAACGTCGGGTAATTAAAAAGTTAAATATACGCGATAAATTACGTAAAAACTAGTATTATTTCAATGTGTAGTGTTCGCGTAAATATAAGAGATCATTATTTACATACTAGCTTGCCAGGCAGACGTTGTTCTGCCCTTTTCGACGACTCTTTATCATATCCTATTAAAAATACTTAAATTAGCAAAAAAAATTGTGGGTCACTCATGGACAAAAAAAACTATCCTATCTCTCAAGTTGAACCAAACTGCACACGGTGTGCAAATTTGATTAAAATCGGTTAAGTAGTTTAGGAGTCCATCGCGGACAAACAATGTGACATGTAATTTTTATATATTAAGATATATATATATATATATATATATATATATATATATATATATATATATATATGTGTACATATATATCTTAATAATATTGGTATGTGTCCCAATCGACATCTCAAAGCTGTAATAACTATCGACCCTGTCGATATTAGCCCTATCTACCCATGAAGAATGGGAAAAATTTGATTGAATAGTTTTATACAATTTGCCTTTATTAGAGATGTCTCGTTAAAGTATTCCTTCCACACACACATCTTTCTTTCGCTTTGTATATAAAATCAGAGAAAAAAAGACAAAATACAGTCAGAGGAAGCTTCTTTGGTAATTTATACGCCTCGTCGTTATCTACTAGGTCAATATGAGCAGGGATCCACTGTAACACAACAGTTAACCTCGTTTGTTTGTAATAAAAAAATGAAAAAGGAGAGATCGAAACATTTCTTGATCAAAGAAATGGGACATAAGCTAAATCTAATCTACAACTCGTATTCCCTACTTCTATAAATATTATAGAAGATTCTTTATATTAAAGAAGTAGGAAATACGAGTTGAAGAGTAGAAATCCATAAACTATTGATAATTTTTCTGTAAGATTCGGTAGTTCTTACTTCTATAAATATTATTGAAGATAGTATTATATTACTTGCTGGCCATACAGGTAGACTTTATTCTGCTCTTTGCGACGACCCATTGTCCTTTAAAAAATCTTAAAATTCGAAATAAAAAAATTGAGGGTCACTTATCGGGATAAAAATTATTCTATCTCTTAAGTTGGAGCAAAATACACATTTACAAAATTTCATTAAAATCGGTTGAATGGTTTCGGGGTTCATAGCGGACAAACAATGTGACGCGTAATTTTTATACATAAGGGATAGAAGTAGGAAAAATGAGTCAAAGAATAGTATTATTATACGCATTACGCAACACATAAACAAGTTCATTACTAACTAATATAACATATTGTGTTTGCAGCACAAATGGGTCAGCTTGACCGGGGTAGGAACACGCTCTCACAGAATACCAGCTTAAAATAGCAACTTAATGCTGCTGTGTTTCGTATGGTGAGTGTAGAGAACCGGAGAACCAAACTGCAGATGCATTACCAGCCCTGAGGACTGAGATGGAATGCATCTTTACCAGTTAAAAATGTCTCCGGTTCTTTACAATCGCCATACGAAACACAGCAGTGTTACGCTGGTATTCTGTGAGAGTAGTTTCCGGTCGAGCCGACCCATTAGTGCTACAAATATACTACTAATATAACTGGAGCATGGCTCTACCACGTATAAAATATTTATAAATAAATATAAATTATAGATCCTATTATATTATACAAGTAGTAAGTACGAGTCGAAGAGTAGAATTATGAACAACGCAATGTAATTCTGTATGTTACACTATAAAACATACCTCTACTTTTCCTTGTCGTCCTTGATCTCCTCAATCTTGGGGTTGTTCTTCCATACATAGTAGTTGAGGGAGCTGGCGTATGCCAACCAGCCCAGATACGGTAGCATCAACGCTCCAGCAGTTTTATTGTATTGGAAGAACGCAATAGTAGTCGCTACTGCCATACCGTTCAACAGCGAGATGTCTATTAAGGCCTGGATGAAGAGAAGAACAAAGGAAATTAACCTGTAGTCTACTTATTACACGTAGTTTATTGGGTTGGGTTTATCCAGGAAGGACCAGCTCTCACAAAACCATTTTAAAATAGCAGCTCAATACTACTGCGTTTCATATGGTGAGAGTAAAGAACGTCAGACCTTTTTTACAGGAAATGAGGCAATCCATCTAAGTCCTTAGGGGTGATAAGCATGTGCATTCAATTTGAATATTAATCAAGGATAGATGAAGATTTCTATGGTCCATAGCATCCACTTACCATCAAGGGGACTACTGTGTGCTCTTCTGTCACATACATTATTCTATAAAAAAAGGTCTAATCTGTTGGTTGTTCGCATGGTTAACGCTCTCGCAGCTCAGATGGTTAACGCTCGCTGTATATAACAGAACGCGAGTAACCCGGGTTCGATCCCCGCTGGCACCAATGAAATTGTTAATTGCAATTTTAAGTGCTGATTTACCACGTGCTCGGCGGTGAAGGAAAACATCGTGAGAAAACCTGCATGTCTGAGGAATAAGAAAAAATATATTTCCAAGACATGTGAAGTTCGCCAACACGCATTGGGGCAGCGCGGCGGACACTTCCTTGCCCTAAAACCCTCTCAGAAATGAGTCGAGGCCTGTGCCCAGCAGTGGGACGTAACTTTACTTTACTTCACTGTTGGTTACACCATGTAGCGGTGGTGTAAAAATACATGTCATTGAAACTGACAAAAGAAGATGGGCAGTACCATCTCCCTGATAACAAATCAAAATTATACAAAACTGTGGTTGCCAACCTGTCTGCCGAACTTGGCATCTATATGACAAAATCCCCTCCTAAGAGGCAATTTATGTGGAAGGCCTATGTTAAGCTAATGTGCAACACCATATCCTTGACGCCCCCCGCCATTACAACAGATTTGATAAACTAGAAATCCTCGCGAAAAAACATTGATCCCTACCAAAGATGACATGTGAAGCTATTGAAATTAAAACATCCTAATTTCAATAGAGAAGAAGTATGGGTATTACCACCTGCTCGGGATCCTGTAATTTATAAAATTTAATCCCAACCCAAGCGCACAACTAAAACTAGGCATACCACTGCAAGACTTCATGATACTCTAAGCTCATTCTGCACAGATCGGACCAAAAGTAATAATTAATAGTATGGTATAGTAGTGATAATAAATAATATTAATAGTACATTTAAATATAATCTTATGTCCTCCAGACCGAATTTTAGTCATGGCGGCCAGCCTCAACGGAGACTAGCCATAGGCACAGGACATAATTATAGTGCCCAAGTGTATGTGCAAGCACAGGTGCACTCTCTATTTCCTCACTCTCATGGTTCGATGGGATGGTAAACGGATACAAATGGAGGAAGATCAGGCGCAGGACCAATAAACGTGATTTCCGTGGCGCGGAGGTGAGACACTTCCAACTTCCTGACTCCGGACAGCTACTGAAACACACAGGCTATCAAAAGTCCACTGCTAAACGTAGGCCACCTCCATAGTTGGCCAGTTTATGATTGTGAGTAGTTAATCAAACAAATATCCTCTCGAGTAAAAAAATTCTAGTACCTGCACTCCGAAGTGCTTAATATTAAATATAAACTTTGCAGATGCAGATTTTTTTATAGAATAAGGGTAACAAACAAGCACACAATCCATCTGATGGTAAGTGGATGCTGTGGCCCATAGACATCTACATTAATCCTCTATTAAGAATCAAAACGTAGATGCGTTTTAACCCCTGAAGACTACGATGGAATGCCTCGTTTCCAGTAAAAAAGGGTCTCCGGTTCTCTGTACTCACCATATGAAACACAGCAGTATTAATCTGCTATTTTACGCTGGTATTCCGTGAGAGCGTGGTTCTTACCCGGTCGAGCCGACCCACTCGTGCTACAACCATAATATAGCTGCAGTGTGGCTCCACCATGTATATGTTATTGATACATGTGTTACATTACTTTTAAAAAGAACGCGAAATTATACTAGCATCCACCACGGCCTTGGACGAGTGATCTCTATATCTCGACAACAGCGCCACCTACCGGCTACAATTGAGTTATTAAACCGTCCAGGGACCCACTCAAATACACAAAAAAACCCTAAAGAATAGCTCGTGCCATTTTCGAGATTTTGCGAGACTAACGGATGAACGACAGCAATTGATTTTTATATATCAGATCTTCTGAAAGGAGTTGCTAGAAGCACAACTGATACCATCTGAATGATGATGCTGTTTTCCTTATTCATACAATAAAGGTGATAAAAACAATTAAACTCACCAATTTAAAGTCCTTCATTCCAAAGAATATTGGAGTCCAGGCCCAGTTAAGCAAAAGTTGGCCACCGTAAAGTGAAAGAGGGAGTAACGACGACTCTGGAAAATGAACAATATAGTTGTTTATGAATAACTTGTGATAATTGATATTACCATATATATACATATAATAGGGATGAAACTGTAGTGCAAACAGATACTCAATTTTCTTAACCAATTCGTAATGCTTGTGCTTTGTACAGGAGATAATAATTGTCTCCTCCTCCTCCAGGCCGAATTTCTATCACGGCGGCCAGTTCTAACGGAGACTAGCCATCTGCACAGCACAGGATTAGGACAAGATGAGTGCCTGAGTGTATGTGCCAGCACAGGTGTACTCACTATTCCCAATCAAACACGACCACAGAGATATCATGTCTACAATGCTAAATGCAGTACTACGATTTTGCACACATGACTTAGATCTTCAAGAAAGTGCTTACTCCTCAAAGGCCAGCGGCAATGCTGCTGCAATTCCTCTGGTGATGCAGCCGTTCATGAGCGGCGGCAGTGACCTAATATCAAATGAGCATGAGCATAACGAGCTCATGCGGGTGCTAATTTCATTATTATCAGTCACATTAGCAAGCATGCGAGTGGCATTTTTTTAATAAAAATACGATCCAAGAAGTGAAACAATCATCAATAGAGAGTATTTTGCAATATTGCTGACATACATACAAACACGTAGAATACAGAAAGAAGCTCCTTCGTTAAGTAGTTTATAAAAATGAAATTCGAATAAGACATTCTGGAAGTTTTTTTTCCAAGTTGTAGACCAAAAAAGGATTTCCTCAGTAAACAATAAAAAGTGAATACTAGATAAGAAGCCCCATCACGGTTTAGATAAACTAGATAGGTACTAATAATTCTTTGTTATCTACTTTACAAGACTAAACTTTGCTATAATTAATATATTTTAAATAAAGAGTTCTTCCGTATATGTTTTTAAATTCTCTAGAATTATTTCTATATAAATCGGAGGTTTCCTCTCTTCTCTGCTGTATGCATATTTGTCCAGCACGAAGTAAACATGCGACATTCAATGGACTAAAAGTTACTTCGTTTTTACTAATTATTAGGAAATAAAGAATCTGAATAAAAATATAGTAGTCATAGAATGTTATTTAATAACATGCCTTTTAAATTATCGAAAAATATTATATATGTCGCCGCAAGGACATCTGTTGACGAAGTCTAAACTTTGCATTGTCTTTTAATTGTTATAAATTATAATAATCAACAGTGTATAATTATTACAATTTAGTAACAGCAATTTATCAGAAACATAACATGTAACTAGCTAGTTCTTTATAACTATTTTGGTTTACAAATCTCTTTGTTGACAACTAATTCCTAAAACTATCTATTCAATTATCAACTTTTAACTCAAATGTTGTTTTAAATCGTAGAAATAAATAATTGTCGATTTGATTATTAATCATGGTAATTGAAATTACATAAGTAACCTAATGAATTCAATAAAAAGTTATTGTTAAGTGGTTAAGTGAAATATTGACCAATCAAATCGTCGACCAATCAGAGCACATCTAACTCGTTATTTTATTACGTTTTCCTTATTGTATGAACGCGGGAATAGACTCACTTCAGTTCGTGCGCTCGTCGGTGTAGTTCTATTTTCCTGGTAAAGCTTTGTGATTATTATTTGTGAGTTTTTATAAAAAGAAGTGTAGAATAAAGTTATTGTGGTATAAAATTAAGTGTGTGATCTAGACCTTTTTCTTTGTGATTATTATTTGTGAGTTTTTATAACAAGAAGTGTACAATAAAGTTATTGGAGTATAAAATTAAAAGTGTGATCTTAGATCTCTTTCATTATAATGGACACAATATACGGTAGCACGACTGAACCCTTGTCAAATGGGGACAGTGGTGCTGCCTCACCAAAAAACAACCCCGAGGTTTCTGCTACGACATCTTAAGTGGGATCGCACGTGCGATCCATATGTGCCGGCAATCCTCAACGACTTGCATCACGTGAAGGTTGCGCGCCCGTAGCTCCCGAGGGTATTCCAAAAGATTTTTTTATGGAAATGGTCAATATGATGCGTTATATGAGCGAGCGACTCAGCGCTCAGTCACCAGAAAAGATGAAGATAACTGAAGTCTTTCTACCCTATTACGACCCTGATAGTAATGTGGGTGTTCGTGAATGGTGCGATCATATTTCGACTGCGGTCTCAAATTACAAGTTAAGTGATTATGATGTAAGAATGAAGGTCTCAAGTTTATTGAAAGGTAGAGCACAGATTTGGACCGACAAATGGCTCGTGACTACGTCATCATGCGAGGAATTATGTCAAATTATCATAACTACGTTTGAAACGGAACATCGTTATTCTAAAGATGTGCTTATGTTCCGTGAACATGTGTATGACCCGTCTAAGGACCTCGCAGTTTCTATTCGATGGATGCTATGGAAGCGAGTCACTAAGGATAAGCTTGATAATGCGGACGTGGCAGAAGCTGTTATTGGGACAGTGAGTGATCAGCGCCTAAGCATTGAACTTATGAATGCCAGAGCCACTTCAGTACCAGAACTCACATCTGTAGCTTCGTCTATTCGCCCTAAATGTTTGTATCCATCATCGTCTTATAATACTAGTCAACTGACCACTAAAAGACCACGTTTAGAAAATAAGGTTACCCCTTTTTGCACATTCTGTAGAAAAGCCGGTCACTCAATTGATGAGTGTCGTAATAAGGTAAGGAACACTTATATTACAAAAGATAATAATGGTTCTGATAGGCTACGCTCAAACGCTCCTGTGAATTCTATTTCATTGTATGTTTTGTTCGAAACAAGGTCATACTTTTGATGTTTGCTATAGACGTTTAAAGGCTATTGCTCCTAGCACCCCTAATGAACAAATTACTAAACGTGTTCATAAATCGTATTGCTAGCTCAATTTTAACTTGTAATGAACATTCAAATTGGCAATATCAAATTAGGTGCTACTTTTGATAGTGGAGCAGAATGTGTGATTCCGTAAATTACCTTTAAGAAATAGGGTCGTTTCCGGTAATTTCTGTCGGTTCAATCGAATGTATTTGCAAGATTGACGGCATTCATGTCGAATTACAGTTCCTTATCCTTCCGGATTATGAGCTCACGACGGATATCTTAATCGGTACTAACGTGTTAAAGAAAACTGGTCTCTGTGTATGAGTAACTAGTAACGGTGCCAAACTTATTTATCAATCGCGAATTATGCAGTTACAAAATAAAAACTCGTTTTTTGAAAACATAGATCATGATTTCAGCAACGAAAGCGAAATCAAAGAGCTCCTAGTGTTAAATAAATACTCTCATTTGTTCATTCGCGGTTATGCTAGAACACGTAGCAATACAGGTAGATTAGATATTCGTAATGATTTCTTAAATTTACGCGAACACTACACATTGATTAAAACTAAATTTACGGATTCTATCGCGTTTATTTAACTTTAGATATTCGGCTTAAGAATCCTAATAAATATGTTGAACATAGGCCATACCGACTAAGTCCTTCCGAAAGAGAAAAAGTTCGCGAAATAGTTCATGAATTGTTAAATAACAATATCATTCGTGAAAGCCAGTCTCTCTTCTCCAGTCCACTTATTCTTGTAAAAAAGAAAAATGGTACAGATCATATGTGCGTTGAGTATAGGGAGCTAAACGCAAACACTGTACGAGATCATTACCCTTGGCCCCTAATATCAGATCAGATTAATAACTTATCAGGTGGTAGATATTTTAACACGTTTGATATATGGCTTCCGGCTTTCACCAAATTGTTATTTCGGACTGTTCCATAGAGAAAACCAGCATTTGTTACGCCAGATGGACTCTATGAATACTTAACCATGCCTTTCGGTTTATGTAATACACCAGTAGTGTATCAATCGGGCTCTGGGGCCTTTGTTGAACTCTGGTAGTGCTGGTACTAGCGATAGTGCTCCGAATGATAGCGTTGCACAAGTTTATTATCAGCAAGAGTAGAAACTTTAGGGATGGTATAATCTTTATGGAGCAGATTTTAATGTCCTTAGAAAAATCAGGTTTTCCCATTAATATCGACAAATGTCTCTTCTTGACATACATCTCAATATCCTGCCAGTTAAGTTATATTTTTTTATCTCGATTAACTTGGATTTTAATTGAGAAATTCATGAATGCTCATGTTTTTTGCGAGCATATACTTCTCAAGAAATATCACTTTTGCCTTAAATAAAAATATACAAATTTTTACAGAAAAAACTCAAATGATGTAAAATAATAATATGTTTGCATGCACAATTGATAAAAATCATGTGATGGATAATGAACATTATCTTATCAAAAAGTAGGGAACATTATGTAACTTATAAAAAAACTGCATATGTCTCTTCTAGATAAAAATTTTAAAGAAACCCTAAAAGAGATGAGTTAAATATTAATTTATGATAGATGTGTCTTTCAGGCAGTCTGGCAGTCCACCTCAATGAAGATAAGCATATGCATGAGCAAGCACAAGTGCAGTCTCTTTTCTTCTACTCCCACAGTCCAATGGGATGGCAATCGACATTACTGGAGAAATAGACACAACGCTTTTACGTGCTTTGCGAGGCACGGTGATAAAATACCGCCAAATTGCGGACTCCGGGCTACCATTGAGATTATCTTGACAGATAAACTCAATAACAGACTTTGGCATGAGCTGCAATTCAGACTCCGGACCTCATGATCATCAACCGCGTTTATGACTACCAGATCAACAAGGCCATCAAAGAGAAAAGATATGTCTTTAAGTCACATGCGTAATGATATAACCTTAAATTTAATTTGTTAACTTTACTGTCTACAAAACATTAAGTCAACTCACCACTAAATCCACCACAGTCTTCCCACACCAGATATGAAGCATAACCCATCCCACTGTATAAAACAGTCCAAGCCGGTCCAAAGACCCATTTAGGTGGAGTCCAGGAAGGTTTCTTCAGGTCATCATACCAGACTTTCTTATCAGCCTTCCGGATCTGTCCAGCATAGTATAACCCGTTAGCCCATCCACCAAGGTTTGGCAGGATTATTGAACCAATTGCTGGCCAGTTTGCCATTTTGATTGTATCACTAAAAAATAAACAACTGATAGTTAAATATTATATTATAACACTCTAATATTTATATGGCATGGTGTGATAACAGCGTAAGAGAAGTCACTACTTCATATCATTCTGAGAGACGACACAGAAAGGGAACATTAACAACTTAAAAATAAAAACTGCAGTTGTAGTTGACAGGCGCAAAAGTGGCGACCATGTCAGAGGCAGCCTATAGGAAGAGAAATGATCAGCAGTTCACAGTTGACTTTTGATAGGCTAATTAATGATGATAATGAGTTAAATATTGTTGCAACTTCCAATATCAGTCAAGAATGCATATACTTCACCTCATTCCTAACCGCCACCTTTTTCGTATATTTTTTTAATGTGCAAGCCAGCTATACAGGTTCAGAAAGACCAGTATCACTGTAACCTGGAAGATCTCTCTGCTATGGCAATAGTTCACTGCTAAGCCCTATATCTTCAACGAATTAAAGGACTTGCTGTGAGCAATTCCACTTCTGGGCTAAGTACATAGTTTACCAGATGAGTGCTATATTTGTGCATTAAGGGTTCACAATCAGTTAGGATATGCAGAGGTGTTTCTTCCGTTAAGGAACACAATCGGCACATTCTTCTGTTGCTTGTCCCAGGATAGACATGTGCTTTTAGACAAGTGTCGAGTCAGGACACTTGCCAGAATATATGCAATTTATTCTTACATAATCCTAGCAAGTAAAATGAAAATCCCATAGAGCTAACCTCAAAATGATAACATTTATCTTTCTCAAGCAGGAAGGGAAAGTGGGAACCGGGGGTGTCTCTTATCACAACTGTAAGGATATCTGGGTACTCATGTATTTCTGAATGAATGTACAAAAAATTACCACTAAGACTGGTGGGAGCAAAGCACAGCACCTTCTAACCTAACTCAAATGAAACGATTTCTAGGTATTTAGTATGTAATAACAATTTCTTTATTTTTTGCAAACATAATTTATAATGAGAGTATAGACCACAGAAGAATAAAAATACCATAGAAGTATAATAATGTGACACTAGTCTTTGACATAGTCAGCTTTCACAGTAATATTAGATTTGTTTTCCATGTTTAAACCATTATTAGATTATAATAGTTTTATTTTTATTTCCTCGAAAACAGTGCATTACATTTAAATGTTTTTATTTTTTAATTTAAATTGAGTGGTTTGTTATAATCTGGGACTAAACCTCTACTAAATACAACACTTACTCCTCCAAATTCCTACCAAATGCAACCCTTGGCCTGGATTTAGGTTTCTTATTTGTATTAATTTATAACAACTTTGTTACATAATATAAAAAAAAACAACTTTGTTAGCATAATACTAGAAGTATTCAAAAATACAATAAAACAATAAATACAAGTAAGTTAAGTGATTTGTGATTTTGAGAAAAAATTGTGAATAAACTTGCTAAAACAGAAAGAGCAATGGAAAGATATTGGGAATCAGGCTTAGTGACAGAATCCGAAATGTGGAAATAAGAAGGAAGACAAAAGTAACTGATATATATAAAGTAACAACCCATATAGACCATCTAAAATGGAGTTGGACAGGACACATGCTATGTTGTAAAATAAATAAATGGAGCAAACAAGTAACCTTATGGTATCCAAGAGGGGATATCAGAAGGCAGGGGCATCTGAAAACAAGCTGGAGTGACGATATTTGCCTAACCCTAGGACCATACTGGACCAGAGTTGCAGAAGATCAAGCTCAATGGAGAGAGCTGGAGGAGGCCTATGCCAAGAGGCACGCCGAATTGCGATATACTATACGAAATAAAATTCATAAAACCAAAAATGTTAAACTGCATGTAGTTCAGAATAAAGGGCTTTATCATTATTATTATAAATAAGTAATCGTAGATGTAAATTTAATGTCAATATTAAGTGTCTTACAACTTAACCACCCTTTTCGGATATTACACTATTTGTAGTACCTATAAAATTATTAATAAGTTATTAATGATGTTTAAAAATAAATAAACAACTATTAAAATAAATAAAAAACAGTTTAATTAAAATTTATTTTAATTTTGTGGGTATAATTACAAATTGTGGTAGAGCCATGCTGCAGTTATATCAGTAGTATAGGTGTAGCATGAATAGGTCGGCTTGACTGGGAAAGGGCCACGCTCTCACAGAATACCAGTGTTATATAGTAGCTTAATGCTTCTGTGTTTCGTACGGTGAGTGTAGAGAACCAGAGATCCTTTTTACTGGATACGAGACATTCCATCTTAGTCCTCATGGGTGACAACGCATTTGCATTTTGATTCATAATCGATGATTGATGTAGATGTCTATGGGACATAGCAACCTAAGTGGTTGCTGTGTCGCATATCAGATGGACTGTGTGCTAGTTTGATATAATTATATGATATTGTTTTGTTATCATAAATGGAAAAAATTTGATTTCATTTTATTATCAATACTAGCTTGCCAGGCAGATGTTGTACTGCCCTTTTCGACGACCCTTTGTCATGTCCTATTATCAAGTTGGATCAAACTGCACCCGGTGTGTAAATTTGATTAAAATCGGTCAAGTAGTTTAGAGAGTCCATTGCAGACATACAATGTGACACGTAATTTATATATATTAATATTTCTATTAAATGTAATATTTTTACATTCATACAATATAAATAATCTGTGTAAATTTTATAATATTAAGAGTGGAAAATATTAAAAATCAGATTTAACAAGAAATGGTATAAAAAAGAATTGAAATACATTTAGATAATTCAATACAACTTAAACCATTCAGATGATGGAGTGAGTGAAACCAAGTAGTACATACTACATACTTTTTCTATATTCTAAATTAGATTAATAGTATAGAATTAACTTTCCAAAATTTACTTTTCAATTTTACTTTTCAATTTATAAACAAACAATAAATAAAAAGGTTTTTATTTTAATCAGCAAATTGAACTAAATCTTGTAAAAAATACATAGTCGAAACACAACCAGAAATGGTAAACTCTGCTTTACTTTTGTATATCGGACTTTGGACTCGAAAATTATTGAAGAATAGTCTAGCTTATCACCAAAAAGATATGGTACTAAAATATGTTTAACATATTGATAAGTAATACATAGATTATAATTAATATAGATAATAAACTATTGTAATTATGCTCTTGTATTCTTTCTAAAAAAATACTACATACCAGTAGGTCTTGTGATTAGAAGCGCGAAAGCGTACCAGCGTGAATAGGAGATTCAATTCAAGCGATGATGTAAGTGCAGAATATTTAAGTGCCTCTAAAACAGCTAACAAAGTTGCATTTCTTATGAATTACGCAATTTTTATGTTAGGATGCCGGTGTCGGGTGTATCGGTAATCTTGTCAGTACTTACATTGTTTTACAACAATGGAGAAATTGTAGAAATTGCTCAGTTTCCAATACTCAAAGGTTTCCAAAGATCGAAGTCGTAGAGTTGTAACTTGTGATAGTTTGCGTTGCTAACAAAAATGCATAAAAAACTAAAAATAGAATATGTATGTCTTATGAATTATAACCCCACAAAAATATTAAACGTCTTGAAGCGGATGAACTTTCCTATATTATAAAAAAGTGTCGCTGGCTTTTAGATCTCTTTAATTTAGCGGCATAATATGGGGAATAAGGCCCGCCCCATACATATACGGCATTTCGTTTCGAGCAGTTTCGAGTTTCCGTATATAATACTCTACTCTATGGTTTCGAGATTCCGTTTCGGAATTGCGATTCGGGATTCCGAACGCAGCAAGTCCATATAAAATCAATGAACCGCCACACACGTACGGTTTTTTCCGTACGAAATTTCTCCGATTCAAGATTCCGTATATGACCTATGCGTTCGGAATCTCGAACGGAAAAAAGCCGGTCCGAACGCAAGTTTTCCATAGATTTTATGTGAGTCCCCGATACACATTCGTAAATTCCGTATGGAACGCACCCAGTGTAGGTCGCACAACCGAAGCGAATGGGGATCTAGTACATGAAGGATTATATTTTTCATCATGAAGAATACTTGTTGTGTCCCGCAAAGTGAAATCAAGCGTATTAATTTCATATTACATGCATAGTTTTCCAAAGACTGATTCTAGTGGGAGAAAAATATAGCAGTTCAGTTCAAAAGAACTGCGGATGTTCTTTGTCAGTTTTTTTTTGTCAGTTTATCACACAATGTCACTTAATTGAGAAGATAGTTTTAAATAAAAGTTGATCAGTTTCTAGAGTATTATATTAATACACAAAACAATGCTTAATTTGTTTTATTTATTTATTTTAAATCTAATTAATATAAAATATAACTAGTACAAAAACAAACACATTATCATATTTACATTTGTCGAACAAATTAACTTCCCAGCTATGAAATTTGTCAAATATTACACTTCATTTTTAAGGTGACCCTAGTCGATGGCATGAACTAAGTAATGGGCGGGGTTAAAATGCATGCTATCTCAGCCGACAACACTTGTGATAGGGATAGACGCTGTGATGAGCAGTAAGAAGCTAATGCGCACACACATACGTACTCCTTACGCTGAGCGACGCAATGCGTGATTTCATTGAAGCAGCGCTCGAGTACCTATGCAATTCATGTTTGAATGACCACATAAACTCAAATTGATGTTATTAGAACTTAGGATCTGCTGTGTGAAACGTAATTATTATGAACCCAATTTAGTTGTTATTATGAAAGTTCTTAAGTGAATTTAAGTAGATGTTGTTATTATCAACAAATAATTTCATTAATTTGTTTTATTTTTTAACCGACTTCGAAAGAAGGAGGCAGTTCTCAACTCGTTGCTTTTTTTAATGTATGTTCTGTTCCCCGATTTCTCGTATATGCCTGAATCAATTTGGAAAATTATTTTTTGTTTGAAAGGATATACTTTCAGATGATCCAATGATAATCGATGATGGTCAGGTCATGATCTAATGATGGGATCTTGGAGAAATCAAGGGAACTTTTAAAAAAATGACAGCAAATCAACCGTGATTGCTGCTATCGCGTATCTGTGCATTATTTACGCAATCACACAATATAATATCACGTTTGTATCCACTAAAGGGGCATGGCTCACTACTAAAAACGGTAACATAAACTTTTTTAAAATATAACCGACTTCTAAAACAAACACACAGTGTTACATAATTTTGTTTTCTTTATGTTTTTGCATTTTATTGTAGGTTATGCAAATATTGCTGTAGGTACTTTGTATGTTAAATAGGTATTTACTTACCATAGCTAGCTATAATTTTTTTAGCTATAATAACCCACAGGAAACTCCCCGAAGTATATACTAGCCAGTGTCAGGATAACTGCTTTTCCGACAGCGCGATTTTGATGGGAGAGAGGCTTTTATTATTTTATGTAAGTTAATTAAATAAATAAAAAAATGTTAGTTTGTAGAATGTTTATTGATTGTTTGTGTATAAAACGGTTTGTAATATTCTCTTAGTACTTAGAAAATTATTAACAATAGGCATTGTGTCACTACAGGGACAAGCACAAACGTCTATCAAAATAGTAACGTAGGTACCTAAAGGGAATACTAACAGCACAGACTTCCTTACAGAAGTCCAAAGAACACGTCTAGACAAGGGAAGTAATTAGAAGAAAACTACAATTTAGAGATCGATTGTAAATCAAATTCACATAATTACAGAAACAATTAGCGAAATATAAATAAAATTTGGATTTATATTATAATAGATAACGCTAGTTGGTTGGGTGGCGGGCATAGGGGTTCCCGAGTTAGATTCCCAGGTCGAAGAGGCTAACATACGCTTATCTTCATATTTGTTTTTTTGTGTTTTTGGGGGATAAGTCGCTCGCGTCCGTAGGTTTTGACAACCTGTTCCTAAGCCCACCCTACACGTGTCCCCCGAGTGGTGCTAAATGAGCGACAAGCCGATAGCACAGACTTGGCTCCACGCCGTGGTAGCGGCGTAAAATATACTACCCCATATTTCGCACCATGAGGAACCAAAGAAAAGAAATGGCCCCGAGTTCCCGGCTCCCCTTGAATGGGGCAGGGGTGCGAAGAATCTTCGGGAGGAAAACCGGCGACGAGGTTCACCACCCGTCACGGTCTGTCTCCCAGAGAGGCGAAAAGTGGATTACAGAGGCCCGTCTGGCTACGTTGAATGTATGTGGGGCAATGAATGATAAAATGGATGAAGTATGCGATACGATGTATGATAGAGGAATAGATATATTATGTGTAAATGAGACGAAAAGGAAGGAGAAGGATGTCACTGCACATGGCATGTATACCGCATACTGGTCTGGTGTAGACGAGATCGAGCGGGCATGGCAGGGAGTAGGTATCATCCTTTCAGAAAGAATGGGCCAATGTATGAAAGAGTATGAATGTGTAAGCCCAAGACTGCTATGGATACGAACGAAAGTGGGTTTAAAGAAGTTGTTTGTGTTAGGGGTCTACGCCCCAGACATGTCTAAGCCCAGTTATATCCGAGAGCAGTTTTGGGAAATGGTAAGGATTGTGTTAATAAAGTGTAAGGGAAATAAAAATATTATTATGCTAGGAGATTTTAATGGAAGGGTTGGGGTGAGGAGGCTTGGTTATGAAAGGATATTGGGAACGTTTGGTGATGAAAGTATAAATGTGAATGGTGAAAGTCTCCTCACCGTATGTATGGAAAAGAATCTTTTTGTGACGAACACTTGCTTTCGCCACAAGAGGATTCACATGTATACTTGGGAAAGACGTGACGATAGAAGCATGATAGATTTCATAATTGTGGATGAAACATTGAGGGGCGCAATGGTAGATACAAGGGTTTACCGGGGTTCTAACGTAGGAACGGATCATTATTTGGTTTTATGCCGAATTAATGGTCTGTTCAGGCGTTGGCACCATCGATCATCTATGTCTACCACTGCGTTACAGCGAATTAGAACTGAAAGGTTGCAAGATGAAGGTGAGAAAAACAAGTTCAAATGTAGACTGAAAGAAAATATAAGTGGTTTAGATGAATTATGTATGAAGGAGTTAGACTTGGAGAATGTATGGCAAAATATAAAGAAAGGTTTAGTGGATGCAGCTACCAAAGTATGTGGTGTTAGTAAGAGAAAGAATGAAAGGAAAAATAATACGTTATGGTGGGATGATGAGATGCGTATGGAAGTTGAAGCAAAGAGGAGAGCATGGCTAGATTTACTAGCAACAAAGGCTGGTAATTCTAGCGGTACGAATGATGATATTGAAAGAAAAAAGGCAGTCTTTAGACATCTAAATAAGAGAGTAAAGAAGTAGTTGAAAGAAAAAAGCAAGAAAGAACGGATAAGAATGATAGAAGGATATCGGATAACTTCCAGGCAAATATTAAAATGTTCTGGAAATTTGTAAGAACTGCCAGAGGACATTCAAAACAGCCTATGATGAATGCTTTAAGAGACGAGAATGGCTATATTCTGAATGATGAAGTTTTGAGTTTAAAGAGATGGAAGGAATATTTTGAAAGCGTGTTTATGAGTGAGGAGACAATGTGTGTACTAAGTGAAGTAGAAACTCCGAAAGAAGAGGAAAGAGGTAGCGAGATAAGTATAGATGAAATAATGAAAGCAATGAAAAGCATGAAAGCTGGTAAGGCTGCCGGATATAATAGAGTTTCACTCGAAATGCTAAGGGCTGGAGAGGAAGTGGTGGCAGGCCTGCTGCACACCTTGTTTAATTTATGCTGGGAACTGAAGCGGGTACCGGTAGACTGGTGCAAAGCCGTGATAGTCCCAGTATATAAAGGTTAAGTGTCGCAGCAGGACTGTAAAAACTACCGTGGCATTAGCCTTTTTAGCATTGTGGGAAAACTGTATAATAAGGCACTGATTAAAAAGGTCATGAAAGAAACTGATGGAAAAATTTGGGATGTGCAAACGGGATTTAGAAAGGGAATGGGATGTACAGATCAAGTCTTTTCCATGCGCATGATCGCGGAGAAGTTTTTGGCCAAAAACCAAAAGGTTTTTTGTGCGTTCATGGACTTGGAAAGGACCTATGACAGAGTGGATAGGGATGTGCTATGGCAAACACTGAACTCATTTGGGTTGAGCGCTGGCTTGATACAGGCATTAGAGTCTCTTTATAGGGACTCTAGTGCTTGTGTTAGGATCAACGGGGTCTACTCGGACTGGTTTGACATCCATAAAGGTGTCAGAGAGGCTTGTGTGGCTTTCCCGTGGCTGTTCAACCTATTTATGGACAGTTTGCAAAATTTGAAAGTTGAAGAATGCGGATTAAGAATGGGTGAGTTAACCGTCAAATGCCTTTTGTACGCCAATGATCAAGTTATTCTTGCGTCGTCGGCGACTGAGTTGCAAATGATGGTTACATTAATGAACAGATCATTAAAAAAAGGGGTATGAAAGTAAACGCAAGTAAGACGAA